TCATGAAAAACTCTTCGTTTGCTTATTGTTTTCGAAAGACAAATGTGTTGCGATAATTCGTAGGAATTTTGCCGCCGAAGACGGTTACATATTGATGACTGCTTGAAAATGAAGCTGTTCAGAAGGTAGAAAGTGGTAAAATTGCCATAAAAATAGAAAAATCATAGACGTTTTTAGGTCGAATATGCTCATATGGTTATTTCTTCGCGAAGCGAAAAATTTTAACATCTCAGAACTGTCTAGCAAAAACCATCGTTTTAGAGTGGGTTTCGAATAAAAAAAACCGGTTGATTTCTTCAACTTTTCTTAGAACTTCGTGTTTTTCACCGATATCCCAATGATAGTTTACAATTATTCGGAAATAGGTCATCCTCTCCTAAATCCCCTTTCTACTCGGGATTCCTTTGGGAGATGTCTGAAAAATCTCTAGCAGGGAGGGCACTTTAAAACTTAAATAAAAAAAAGATTCATCCACTTTGCTGAATAATAATAGATAATTTTCAATTATTGGGAAGTGTATACCCCTCCCCCTCCTTCACTTTCACGGGTCCTGGATATTGATCAACAAAAATTGCTTGAGAACATACATTATTACTTGAAGAAGATCTTAAAGTATTTAAGAATGCATTAAAATTATCAGATAAAGATACAAAAGTTGCTATTAAAGTTGGTCCACAAGCTATACAAGTAACATCAAATGAAACAACTAAAGTACTTGGTCATAATGTTTTACTTAATGATGTTTATTATGCTTCAGAAATTGAAGAAGTTTGCCTTGTTAATGATAATCAATTTACATTAACAATAGCCAATCAACACAGGTTCACTTTCATTTATTCATAATGCAATCGTGATAATATTGTTCAATCTATTTTCATATTAGAGCAAGATGAGTAAATTGATTTAATTCTTTATATAGTTTTGTAAATTTTTTTTTTTTGTTATTTATAATAAACCTGCTCAACCTGATTCAATTTAAATACATAATAAAATTCATCGAAAAGATGTGCCTGAAACATTATTAAATATTGTCTTATTAAATTTAAGTTCACTTGATCCATGATTATAATCAGCAACTTATATATTATTATGTTCATCAATACAAACATTTGATTTACGTATTGAAAGTTAATTACTTGAATTATCTGGTCTTTGTATTCCATCAAATAATACAATATTTATAAGAACCATATCATCAGAAAAATTAGCATTAAAAGAAGCACATTTAACATTAGAATTTTTAGAAGAATGTATTCAAGCTTTTAGAAATTCAACAATTGAATTAAAATATTTATGCTTAGGATCTATGACAAAATGGTTACTGAATTTAACGCAATTTTGTAAACAAAATGATAATATAATAAACAATTAGAAGTTTCAATGATACTTAATAAATTAATACATTAACTATAGAAGAAGATGATATGTATCCATCAATTCAAACTAAAACTTGGTTACATATTGGACAAGTTAGTGATTTTTAGATATTGTTTTAGATTGTTTCATAAAACGTTCTATATTTTATAGTCTTGAAGCAATACAAGCTGAAATTTTAGCTAATACAGCTGTTACTTAAGCTAGTTCAAATGCATTATTATTTTCACGAAAAGTTATTGGATGTCTTTGTCGTTTAATGGAAAAGAAAAACATGTTTATCATCAACATCAACATTTTTATTTGAGATGATATTGCTATTTTACTTCGTTATTTATTAATGCTTTCATTTAATAATTCATTTGATATTGCTTCACATTTACCATTTCTATATCATATTGTTACATTACTTGTTAGTACAGATTCATTAACATTATGTGTATCAACACATGATCTTGTTATAAATATTTTACATTCATTATTATACATATTCTCAATCACAATTTAGTGATGAAACGCAACGTTTTACTTCGTTTATTCTTAGCTGAATTTTCTTTATCAAAATTTTATGCATTATTTGGTTTATCAAAAGTAAATCTGCTAATGTTATCGCATTTCGTACATGTTTAATAACAATAGAGTATTTGCCACAAATCGCGGAGCAATCGCAGCGAGTCGCGACACAGAAATCTGAAACCATCAATTACTTCGTTACCTCGTTCCCCCGTTTCCTACTTACGTGAGATCCCCTATGTAAATGATTTAGTTCTCACCCTCAGCTAAGATCACTTGTGTCTGTGATTTAGCTCTCACCCGAGATGTTCTATGTATGCGATTTTGCCCTGCTTCTTCCACTCGTCTTAGCTGAGAGTAAGGGTTAAATCGTAAGCACCGAACATCTCAGCTGAGGTTGATGTCTAAATATCATTCACAGCAAGTCTTAGTTGAGTGTGAAGGCTAAATCGTTTACACAAGAGATCTCTCCTGAATAGGTAATGAGGTAACGAGATGACGAAGTGACGAATTAATGAGACGAAGGAGTTGAGGATCAAAGGTCAAATATAGGTATGAAACTTCTGTGTTGATTCGTTGCAGTTGTGCCGCGATTTATGGTAACTACTGCAGCAACAACATTCAAATCAATTAATATCACAAGATAAACAACAACAAATTTCACCTGAACGTTCAATGAAAATTTCAAATGCATATTGACTAACAATTGAACAATGAGAAAGAATGAGTTTAACATCACTTGAAACAATAACAGATACATTATTAGAATTAATGGAAGCTTGTATGAGTGACATACTGGATTGTAAATGGTTAGCACAATGGCAAGAATTAGTTAAACATTTTGCTTTTCAATTTAATCCAACGTTTACAAGCAAGACCAATGTAAGATTTTTTTTTATAAAACTAATTTTTCTTTAATGTTTAAAAGTATTATTT